AAAATAGAAGCTGGGAGATTTGCCTTGGGCATCTGTTTTCTCAGGCTGTTGGAACAGGGTACTGGGATAACTGGACTCAGTACTGCCTTTCTTATATTTTATTATGAGCCTATTTTTTCATATCTAAATGGAAGTTAATAGAAGTATCCTAAAATGAGCAATGTTACTATAACACTGTAACCATTCGACCGCATAAGAAAACCCAGAAAATGAGCCATTGCCTTATACAGCAGAAGGCAATAATGAAAAGGAAGCATGAATTGCTTATTATCTCTGGTAGTACAGAAATTTGAAACAGCCACTTTGCTTCTTTGAGGTGGTTTATAAATTTAAGAAATCACTCGATAGGCATCAAGCTCAGTATATATCTTTTTACATACAAAATATTGTTTCCTTCACTGTTGAGCCAAATGTTCTTTTCATACACAAGATCAATAACAGACACTCATTTTATTATATTTACATCATACACCGTAGAATTTCAGCTAGAGACAAGTTCCATCAATCCTGATAAATTCTCGCGTTGTTCAAAAGTAAACGTGCAGGATGAATAAAGTATAAAGAATTAGATACTCACTCACCACTGGCTTTGTGGTAACTGTGCTCCCATCAGAGTCGATGATAGGTTGAGTACTGATTGATGCTACAGTAGTGTAAGACATGTCAGAGGGTTTTGCTGAAACAGCCCACCCAAAATCTGTTGTGGTCAGTTATAAATAAAACCTCATCTCCCCCGCATGTTCACAGTCAACACCATACTGGCTTTGAGCTTTTAGAGGTTCCACTACACCATGGTACTTTGGGTGCAAAAATGCAGACAGGAGAAGGAAATCAGTAACAAATTTAAGTCAAAGGTCTGAAAATAAAAGCTCAGAATTCTGTTCTTGTTAATGGTGAGGTCAAGAGACAGAGTTGTTTGCTGTGTTTTGTGTTGGCAGACACTGATCACTAGAATTTTCTAGATGTGTTTGCTTTATTCAGAAAGAGGAAGTCATCGTGGCACAGAAATTCCTTTTTTTGGCCATTTATGCAAAAAAATCCTTTCACAGATCAGCTTATTTGGGACATAATTTGACAGTTCACTGAAAGTAACCAACATCTAATGGAAATTTGGTGACAACAGCAAATTTGATACCTACCGCTGACAGAAGTATCTGTATTTTGGTAAGAACATCGGATTTGAAGTCGTTATGTTATGCTGCTTGCTCTTTGATTAACAATTGTAAATGGATTTTAAAACACTGAGGTCTAAAAATCATCAAAAATACCAGGAGAAACGGAAATTGGCTTTGGTGCTTATATTTTCCTTTTCCTTCTTATTCCAATATTCGCAGGATGAACGATATCAAAGCAGAGACTGACATTAGAGAGGGGTATTCTATATAAACTATATCACATACATTACATAATATATACAAATATTCCTAATATATAAAACATTCAGATACAAACTCACTGGATGAAATCTATCTCCCAATGGGAAATCAATGAGCATGTTCACATTAAATACCACAGATCCAGGGTCTTCCGCTGTCTTTCCAGACACTGGTGACAGAGAAATAAAGACAGGCAGAGAAAGAGGCTTGGAAGTTTCTGGCAGATGTTGTATACGGACTGACTAAATCATGGTATGTCTACACCATGTAATGGATTGAAATGGCTCTGCTGTGAGATGGTAGCCCGGCTGCAACATTTCTAGGGCTCGAGTTAGTCACCTCCATACAAAACTACTGTGCTGCATGGACAGATCAGTTCCAGCTAAGGGAAACACGGCTGGTTTTGCTGCATGCCTTCACATAGTTTTGTCTCTTCCAAAAAAAATGAAGCACAGAATTCTCTGCATTCATCACAGTGTCAGAGACTGCGACATTGTCTTTCTTGTTTGTTGCAGCAGAAAAAGGGACTGTGGTTTGAATCATATGCAAACACTTCTGAAATGTATTTTGCAAAGTACATAAAAAAGACAAAGTGTACTAACAGGGGAGAACTCACCGTCCTTTACATCCACAACAACACACAAAGGAAAAGTAAAATGCACAGTAACGTTCCTGAAGAGTTTGATTTGAAAGATGCTGTTCTGAAAAACGAAATACGCATTTAGGAAGCTGGCTGCACGAATTGCTTTCTCTAAACATATATAACTTTCCATGGGGAATACTGAGGCAACGAAGGATGGTAAGAAGAAAAAAAAAAAAATCTCAAAATCTCACAACTAGTCCTTATAATGCTACACCTTGAAATTTCACGCTCAATTCAAAAAACACCCTAGATCTTAAACAAAATTTATTTTCTTGTATTTTCCAAGGAAGGAATAGTGAAAGCTACGTGCAATCTGAGTGCAATATCACCTGTAAATGTATAAAGATAAATAAATAACAGATGTACTGGAAATTCAGCCCGGTTAACAAAAAATAAAATAAATCTTGATGGGAACAATGAATAATTCACAGGCCACATCACTCGAGCGACCACAGGCAGGTCTGTGCAGAGTCCGGGCTGCATTGTACAAATAATTTACAACTGAACACTCCATAACACAACTGCTGATTGCAAGCAATCTCATCAAGCCAAGTCAGCAGCTCTGCAAACATCAGTGCACTCTAAGCACTGCCATGGCAATGACTTCAAATGGAGCTATAACCTGATCCTGGGCGCGTAACTCTAGCAGGGCCAAGTCTTCACTACCTTTTGTGATATTTAAGAGATAACTTAATATTTTGACAGTCTACTGTGCAGAAAGAGGGAAAAATCCCCAAATGGTGATACAGAGCTAAACTGTTCAGAGCATTATACAGGGTAAAACATATATGTAAGGGAGATGTTACTGTTTTACCTGGGGAACCTCTGATAGACAATGACGCAAATGCTGCCTGAACAAAAAAAGACTTGTTACTCCCAAGAACAACAGTCATTCTATCACAAGGGACACTGAAATAAACAACATCACGTTGAAATGAAGAAGGTAATTTTAAATGGGTAGTAAATTTAGTGTTTTCCATTGTGTTTTTAATCAATGTTGCTCACAAAACCTGGCTGAGAATGGGTAAGATGGTATGAGAAACTGTTTGCCTAAATTGCTTAATTTCAGAGACAGGCTAGCAGGAAGGAAGCACACAGCAGCCTTAACTTCATTCTACAGAGGTTACAAAAAAGCCTTTCACGAACCAAGGCTCTGCAGTTATTCCTGAATAACACATGGCCACTATTCCCCCAAAAGGAGGTTCTTTCTTTGCACAGATCCTCCTTTATCATCCCTGATTCTGATTGATCTTCCAGCAGTTGTGCAAGTCCCTCCTCAGCAGGAATACAAGATCAACTCTTTAACCTTGTTAAGCCTTCTGCCACCAAAATAGTAACTGGAAAGAGCTATTTGCTGAATGTTATTTTTCAAGTAGCTTAGAAATCTAAAATTAAATTACTGCCTTTTACATATAGGTTTTCTGGAACATTCCAAGACAACCCATATTCTGAGTCCACCCTGCAATTTTGAAAAGTTGCAATACTAGTCAATCTCTTTCTCTGGTTCTCAGTTATAGTTGAGGTTTCTCATCTTCACCAAACATTCAAACCCCCGAACGCTTCATACACCAGTGTTTCAGTAACGTGCTTAAAGAAAAGCACACAAGGCTGCTTCAAAGTCAGCCAAAGTCCATGAAAAACTCCAGTTCACTTGAATGGGTTTTTGATTAGAATGGTAATCCAAATATTTGCACTGATGCAAGCACTTAATGTATATAGCATCATGCCACTGTGAAGATATCATACAAGCACCTGGTGGGTAGAATTCTTCAATAAACTTATTCACAATGTTTAAAAGCAAAAAAACAGCATTAGTCCAATCACAAAACCAGTTTTCTTAACATATTAACTCTCTGCATAGGTACAGGAATGTATTTATCCATAGGATAGACAGGGTGTGTAAGAAAGCAGTGACTCCACTATCTAAAAACAATGTGTTCCTTTCAGGGGGAGGTGGCCAGCTGCTAGGCAGTGTACACTGCTTTCATTGCTATTTCTTAACTTCTGTAAGGCAAAAAATGGTGGCAGGACCTGTTTTGTTTTCTGCCAGTTGGAATACAGCAAGCAGACACTTGTGCACATGAAGGAGGCAGTATGTACAGCTCAGTGCCCGTAACTGATGTGTCCATCTGTTAGCGCACTATTTGGATGGATGTAAACCAGTGGCTGTCCATTATTAAAGGACAAAGCTCAATGTAGTCTCCTGCTTACCCAAATAATTACAAATTAATTTACATTTGCCTCTTTGTTTCACTGGAATAGGCCAAAAGTAGTTTCATTTTTTAAGCTCAGCTCAGGCAAATAAAAAATGTGAATCCAAGGTAATGCAACTAAAGCAATTCCTTTGATAACAAAACTGAAAAAATGTTTGTAGCACATGGCCTAAATAGTGGGAGAGGATTCTTCAAGGCAAATATCCATCCAGTAGGTGAAATTTATTTTCCTCTAGATTAAAACATTTGCATGTACAAAAAGAAACAAGATTTTTATATGGCATAACCGAGTCAATGAATATATCTGAACCACTTCTGATTGCACGAGAATACACAGCATTTGTGAAAGCACCATGCACTGAACTGCTCCAGAAGCTTACAGAGACATTCAAACATTAATCTTCCTTCTGAAGAAAGTGATTTTTGTACAGGCTTATTATCCAGCCAAATTTAAATTAATTTATGTTTGAGAGCAAAAAGTGGGACTTGGGACTTACAGGCTGCATGCCAACACTTTACACAGAGACTAGTTTCATTCATTCAGACTGGAAGATGCAACATAAAAATAAGCAGGCAGATATATCTCACATGCTTCTTATTGTCTACACACCATCAAAAGGTGGCTGCCATATGACTACCTGTGAGCTGTGATTTGTTTATTTCTGATACCAGTGACTCAAGCTGATACATACTGCTCCTTCCTTAGTGTTTTTGGATGCTGGTTCACAGACTGTTCTTTTATTTAATTCTCTTTTTGTTTTGTGTCAGGGCGAGTGCTCCCAGAAATGCTATTACATCTTCGTCATAGAGACCATCTGTGTGGCTTGGTTTTCCCTGGAGTTCTGCCTCCGATTCATTCAGGCAAGGAGCAAGTGTCAGTTCTTCAAAGGACCGCTAAATATAATTGACTTCTTGGCTATTTCACCCTATTACGTTTCCCTCATCTTCTCAGAGGATGACTCAAATGAGGACGATGACAGGCCAAGCAGCAACACGTATTTGGAGAAGGTTGGTTTGGTGCTACGGGTTTTACGTGCCTTGAGGATCTTGTATGTCATGCGCCTTGCCCGACACTCCTTGGGCTTGCAGACTTTGGGCCTCACAGTTCGGAGATGCACACGGGAATTTGGCCTGCTTTTACTCTTCTTATGTGTGGCTGTCACTCTCTTTTCTCCTTTGGTCTATCTTGCCGAGAATGAATCTGGGAAGGTGCTTGAATTTACAAGCATACCTGCATCTTACTGGTGGGCTATCATTTCAATGACCACTGTGGGGTATGGAGACATGGTACCACGGAGTGTCCCAGGCCAGATGGTGGCTCTCAGCAGCATCCTCAGCGGGATTCTCATCATGTCTTTTCCTGCAACATCAATATTCCACACTTTCTCCCATTCCTACTCAGAGCTGAGAAAGGAACATGAACGACTGCAGTCTCGGCTAAACAGAGTAAAAAATGGCAATAACTCTGATGAAAGCGACACCTTCAATGAGACAGACAGTTTGATCCTGGAGGATCAAATGTCACCAATCAAATACATTTACACAGGGAACTAAGCCTGGTTGCAAAGCATTCCCAAGAACAGGAGTAGAAATATACACAAATGTACATCAACATAATACACAAAGCAAAGCAACAACATCGGTTACAATGCTATTCTTCTCTGCCAGCATAGGTATAATATGCAGTCAAGCCAACACATCATTATGGAGCTGGAGGTTTTGAGAATGTCAAAAGTCAGAGTTTATTCAATAATAAATATTAATTCTTCTCTATGACTAATAAGAATAAACTTTATCTCTGACAGTCATGTATCTTGCTGAATACCTAATATTGAAAGAGTAACAAAAGACTCAGCTTCTGTTGGCACAAATACAGTCGTTGTTTTACTTGCCTTTGAGTTTCCAATGTTCTTGCAATTAACATCTTAAGCCAAACATTAGAAAGCTTTCTTTCAGGGCTATGCACCAGTGTTGTTTATACAATGCTCATCCACCAGGCATACAGAAGAAGCCTCAATACAAATCTGAATTCTGTATCTAAAACCACTAATAAGCTCAAAATAAAAGCACTGTATGTGAAAGCTTTCAAAGTTTGCCTGTAGCCAGACGATCAATCTATAAATGACAAATTGCACTGCTACTGTATAAAATACATAGTGTTTGCAGGAGAATTTGCTTGAACTACAGTTGCAGTCTGCAAACTGTAAACATTTCATACTAGACAGCAAAAGTTTTCAAACTTCTTTTCATATAATTATTTAAAATAATAATGAGGAATAAAAAACCCCAGGCTTGACCACACTAAAAAGAGTTGGTGTTATCTTTTTCACTGAATGGTGATGGCTTCTCTGGAAGAAACATAAAAAATAGAGTTATTGAAAATGAGAAGATAGCTCCAAAGTATCCAAAGGGATAAATAGTAAAGAATGAGGCAAATGACTGCCAGAGAGGCAGTGGGAGTGATTTCCTAATGCAAATGGAATATGTCCATTTTGGGATAGCCAAGTATAGCCAGCAGAAAGAGATAGGACTACACAGAGGTCAACAACACTACTTCATGGGATAGTCTAGATGACCTTCTACAATTTGACCTTTTAGATGCTGTGAATGCAGTTAGTGAAAACCGATACCAAGACACGAAGGCCGGGTCTGCGCAAACACCCGTGTATTCAGGGCCTGTGCCAGCTCACAGGCCCCCAGTTTGCAAGTGGTACCTGTAGGACTTTGACATGCTGAATACTGGGCATAGATTTAAGTACTGAGATGAATCAAGACCTAAATTATTTTGTAATCAGATTTTCAGATTTCATTATTCAATTTTTAAAATCTTACCAGGGTCCCCAAGACCCTGTGATGGGGCAAAGCTCAGAGAAATGACCATTCAGTTCCAGTTTTCAGCAGGCACCACTGTTGCCCAGTACGGTGCAGTCTGAAACCCAAGGGGTACTTCCAGGCGTTGTGACCCATCTCCCACGTGGACACACACACACAGTCACCTGCAGTTACACAACTTCAGGCAGGCATTTGGGAATTGTGGCTTTTAGATACTATCCTCAATGCGTTGCACAGCTTAAGTACAGAAAAGCACAGTTGCTGGCACAATTTGGATCACGTGACTCAAATTAATCTCTTGGGTTTATCTTGCTATTGACCCTGTGATGTAAACCAGAGTAACTGTAATGGATTATAGATGGGATGTCCCAACACAACTGGAACAAGTCGACACTAGATGACAAGCATTTGTATTTGCCACATAGAGGGTGGCATTCCTGCTGGCTTATGCATAGGTACATCTGATTTTTATTATTTCATTTTTTCCACAATTAGCATTTATTTTTTGCCAGCAATTCTCTAACAGTAGGACTACTTAGATAGTAAACCAGACAAAATCCAACCTCGACTCAGACCCCTCCAGGGTCTTCCTATGCATGGTGATGCCACCTGCATTTCTCTGGGAGAGTCTGTATTTCTTCACAGTTATTCCAGTTTCTTACAAAACAATTGTACACTGCCACAATACCCAGCACAGTCTACTTCTGCCTCTCTGGTCTGTCAAAGCCAAACACAGTTCTTGCTCCCTGTTGACTGATGCCTGCTAGAGCATGCATCCTGATGCAGATTAGCCATGTTTCAAAAGACATTTCTCCCCACCCAACACACACTTTGGAAATATAAACAATTAGGTAGTGCAACTGATTTGCTTTTTCTAATTAACAGTTTTCTTGCTAGTTCAGGAGTTAGTTCAACACGGTTCCACAGAACATTAGCCCAGTCCCCTTGTTCTAATCGTGTAGATAGCTAGAAAAATATTGGGGCTTTTACTATCCAAGTACTTATAACAGCTTAATCTCCAACAGGTTCTGTGATGTAGGTGAGGTTGTGGACATAACATACGTCCAAATTCACAGCAATCCAAACCTTGACTCAGTCAAGCATCTAAGTTGGATTGTGTTTTGGAAGAATTTACACAAAGAGTCTTCTGAAACATGGAGATAAACCAAACAAAAGCATCACCAATGTTTAACAGTGAAGTAAGTGCTTCTACTTCCAGCAGAATCAGGACCATAACATATATTTCTGTTTCCAACTTAATCTCTTCTTATAGCCGGCTCTCGGCTGCACCAGCTTTCATAGAAAATGTCCTTCGTGATTCATTTGTTACTAGGGAGGGAAAAAAATATGCTGGAAGGAACATTTAGTTCCTGTGTAACTCAACTGAGTAACAAACTCAGAACAAGCAGTTACAATTAGCAGATATTGTTGTTGCCAAGATCGTATCATTTCATAACCAGACTTAATTAAAAGAGCAGTTTAGGTGCCTGGCATCTAGCTTCTCTCAGTACAAAGCCTTTTCCCTAAATCTAAATCCTAAAAGCAGCAGAGAAACAGCACCCATTATCCAGGGAAAGTCACGTTGCTCAGCTTTCACCAATGCATTACATCCCTTTTTAAGCTTCTAACTGCTACTCTGACATAGTAACAACTCCTACTGTATAATGAAGGGAGCCACAAAACTCCCCACCATTCTGCTTTGTTTGGGGAAGATAATAGATACCTTGCTCTGCAAACCAGCTACGGACAGACAGTGTGGCAGAGACCCTTCCAACTGCTGGTCTGACTTGGAACCAAAACACAGTGAATGGGTTTTGATCATGGACTAAATGCAAATTTTCTACAATGTTGAAGTTGCACTGAGGGCTAAGACCTTTGCTTTGACATAACTCTTGTTGCTTCAGGGATTCTGCAGATTGTTTTTAATTCTCACTGCAGTCCTTCTACCTCAGCTATTGTCCAGCTGTTTCTCCTCTTTGACTTTCATCATTTCCTCTGGTAGAGAAGCATTACATGAGATGGACATATTTCAGTAATGAACTCCCATTAGTTTCATAGACTCAGCATTTTATTATTTCCACCTACTGTTAGATCTCCCGAAATTTGCTTTTCATCTGTCTTTGTCAACCTGAAGTTTGCATCCAGTCACTAATATTCATAACATAACAAAAAGTTACCAGGTTTATTATTTAAGTCACATAAATTCATTGGCAGGAATAGTACATTATTTTAGGGGTAAATTACAAAAGAATTCAAAGTGTACTGCAGATCCATAAATTGTAGCAGAACTAGTCAAAACTTGTATCAGTCAATATTTTTATTTCAAACATACCCAGAGAGTATTCTGCAGTTATTTTGCACAATTAAGCATATCTGTTGACAGAAATTACACTCAGCATGCCCCCTCTGATTTTTATTCATAATTAAAGACTTTTTCCCCCCCTTTTTTTGTTCAGAAAATTGTTTTAATACATTGCAGTAATCCATAAATAATGATGAAAACCTAGAGGGTCAAGGAAATTGAAAGCACAGCATATTCCCTGAAGGACCATTAGAAAGTTTTTACTTCTACAATAAATAAATAATTAGCCACATGTTAAAACTGATAAAAGGCTAATAATACTCATGTTTCATAAATGGAATATGGTTTATGCATGGTAAAATGCTACATATTCTAGCACCCTTTACTGAAAGTATTAGATTTGTTCCTGTGAACTCTTTTGCTTCTGTAGCAATGGCTTATCTGAGCTAAATGGGGCTTTCACTACTTCTGAGTCCTAACCATGGCACACCACCTGGCAAAGTCTTAAGAAACAGGATAAGGTTGTGAATATATCAGGTACACAATATGCACAGTGGATTCTCTACTGGCCTCTGACGTGGGGCATTAAACTGAATTTTTCCAGCAGACAAAGCACAGACTGAGCTGAATACTCCACTTTCCTTAAAGGACACCAACATTCAGCTCAGACAAAGCCTGCAGAACTCCTCAACTAGTTTGGGAAAACTGATTGTTGCATATGGGATGCAGATCTTGTTAGGAACGTGAAGTTCTTGATACGCAATATCAGGATGAAACCCAGTACTCTAGGTTACTCTAATTGTGTTTTCTGGATGACTAAAAATATGTTAACAAGGAAAAGATGAAGAAGAGAATTAACTAAAGTGTTTCCCTTCCCCCTGTGCTCCTGTCTTTACCATTTTAAGCTAGTTCTCAAAAAAACTTGTTTTCCCCAAAGCTTAGTGTTCCACTAGTTCCCTTATGCCCGTATCTGATCACCATGAAAAGTTCACACAGAGGTGAAAAGAATCCATCTCAAAGCAACTTTACTATAAGAGAGATCTGCATTCAGAATAGTACCAAGGAAACAACTAATGTAAAAATTGTAGGCTTGGATCATCACCACCGAGTTTTTAAGGAGCACTTTTGACAGAATATTACAGTAGATTCAGCAAGAGGGATAAAAATCCATCTTGGATTTCATTATTTCCATACTTGATACCTGCCATAACTACACCAGTTGTAAAAATCAAGCATATGTCTAAAAGTGCTGTAGAACCACCTTTGGGCGTTTCTCTTCTGAAAGTTAGTCTGTTATATCACCAGTAATAAGATTCATAACTAAGTAATAAAACTTAATCACCCTGAAACAACACTTAAAATTTTAAATCTTAAATGAAAAGGTCTACTGCTTGATATCTGAAAATTCTGTTTAAAAAAAATCCTTTAGGACTTAATGTATTACCATAGAATTCCATACATGCATATAATAAAGTCATAATATCTTCCAAAACTTCATGATTGCCAGTTCTAGCATTCAGCCAAATATTAGTCAGTTAGACACTAACTACAAATCAACAGGGTTTTGTCTCAGCTTGTTCAAAATAATTTCCTTTCATTAGCTTTCAAGAAACTGCGACTGTTCTCGGTAAGAACAAATGGAGTGATACAGAATTTTTCTTCCACCTAAAGTAAAAGCAGATGAGGTACAATTTATCTTGACCTTGCAGGGCAATGAAGCCCTCACAATGCCTCTGTGAGAATCCAATGAGGTCTCACTTTCAGACAAACAGCATGATCATTTGCTGATGTTCCACCATTTGCCTTTAACTCCACATGCAGGCCCCCATCGCTTCCCACACAGACAGGACACAGATCAAGTACCTTCCTAGTTCCAGGGCTTCTTTTGTTTTCGCCTGCCCCTTCTGTAAGCCCACATCAGGAATTACTCCTTTGCTATACAAAAAGCCCTCTCAT